TCCTAAGGCTACCCAGCAGAAACCAGTTGTGAAGCAATGCAAGTTGCCTGGCGCCTTGGGCCAGCTGCAGTTTGTTAGGTAATTTTCAGGTTGCAAAGGGCCGGGGCATTCATATGCAAAAGCCTCTGCTGCAGCCTGGGTGGGGCGGGGTCTCAGGGATCAACAGGGTGGAGCAAGCAGCTATGGCAGATGCTCAGCCCTTCCCTAAGGGGCCGCGCACACGCGTGCGTGAGTCTCAGGGTCCCGGTAATTTAATTGCTGCAAGCACCTCTGAGGGAAAGCTGCCCTCGAGTTCCGAGTTCTGCCTGCTGCCAGACAGTCCAGTTTCTCCCCATATGAGTCCTGGGTCCCCAGAGCCTTCCCAGAACCAGAGTTCAGAGCAGTCGGGAGCTTGTGACTCACTCCCGATTCAAAAAGACAGCTGTGTTCTCAGGTACTAGCCTCCAAACCTTTGCACTTTACTTCCACAGCTCCTGACCCTCAGTGTGCTTTTCTCTTTCCTTCTAGTTGTAGAATTTCCACTCAGCCAGCCTTCCTGTAGTTCTGGATAATGTCTGTTTTGTCTTTTTGTTGTATTTTTGAAGTTCTTGTAGGAGGCAGAAATTTCGGTGTTTACCTATGCCGCCATCCTAGTTTCTCTCCAAGATGCATGTTTCTTCATAAAAGTTTTCCAATATGAGCGTTTGTTGAATCCTATTGTGTCTCATGAAACTAATACACTAATGACATAAGCACAAGCTGCTATTAAGGAGAGGAATCTGCATGATGATAAGACTAATGAGATGAGTGTGTCTTGTTGAAGATACACAAGATATTTTGAGAATTTACCCCTGTTAAAAAAATATTTAGCAGAATATAAAGCTCTGAATGCTCATTAGAGTTTGAGAAGAAAAGTTAACTATAGCCTATGATTTTTAAATAAATTTTCATTGGAAAATTTTCCCCACAAATTATATATTGACCTGTAAAATAAACTCTCTTTAATTTTATTTCAATTGGGAAATGTATCTAGGAGATCCTTGAACATAGTGGCTGAGATCTTTAAGTTTATATTATCATGTGATAAATGTGAGAACCATAAAAGGGAAAGTATGTAGGAGACACAGTGATGTTATGAAGAAGTGGATTTGTGGAATAAAAAGGAGGAGGAAACAAGGATGAGGATAAGGAGGAAGATAGGGAGGAAAAGAAAAGGAGAATCCAGAAATTTTCATTTCAATAAAAATTTTGTTACTGCTAGAATGCTGATCTCTAAAGTTTATAAAACATGAGTGAGAACTTCCTGTCCACTCCCTGAATATCATGTATCATTCAGGGCTGGGGACTCTGGCAAAGGCCTATGTGGATGCCATCAACAGTGGAGCAGTGCCTTGTTTGGAAAATGCAGTGAAAACCCTGGCTGAGCTTGAGAACTCAGCAGTCATGCAGAAGGCAGCTGACCACTATAGTGAGCAGATGGCTGACAGAGTGAGCTTCCCCACAGACACGCTGCAGGAGTTGCTGGACCTTCATTCAGCCTCTGAGAGGGAAGCTATTGCAGTCTTCATGGAGAACTCCTTCAAGGATAACAACCAGGTGTTCCAAAAGAAGCTTATGATAATATGTCTTAGCATAACCTTCTTAATTCCTGTTCTTCTGGATTGATGTCCAGACATTCCCTTTTTGACTCATAGTTCATGAATTTTTCCATTGTAAAAGAGCTTAAATTCATGTGATTGACTGTAGTCTATAGTGGTCTATAGACTACTATTTATTCTTTTTCCGAACAATTGGCTCCTTATTTCTATTATGAAAATTTGTTTGTTCACAATTCTTCAGTCGAGTTCCTATCACAAGATGTATTGGTGCTCTGTTCTGTGTACCAAAAGCTTGAAACAAAGATGGAAATGTTGTACACCTAAAACTAACATATCATAAGGAAGGTCATGGGAACTGCTCCTGCATATTCAAGACAGTAATGGTGCGTTGTATACTTATCTTGTTTCTAATATCTTTGACTACCTCTCTGCCACCAACTGGAGAAAACTTCTTTTAAAGAGCTGATGTATTTAGGTGTGCACCCTTGAGTAATCTCCATTTCTTAATGTCAACCTGTGCCATATAATAATCTAATCATGGATCCATATTCAGTATATTCACAGCCCTAGGGACTGTAGTGTATGGACACCAGGACAGAGAACTCTTGAGAACAATATCATTCTATTTAGCATAAGCATATTCATCTTGTCTTTGAATCTGTCATTGACCATCCTGTAAGTTACAAAACTTTCACTTCACACCCTAGTCAGTTTGGACCAGTGGATAGAGCATTGGTCCATGGACTGAAGGGTCCCTGGTTTGATTCCCAATTGATGTATCTCTCTCACATTGATATTTCTCTCTGTCTCTTCCCACCTCCTTCCACTCTCTTTCAAAAAATCAATAGGAAAATATCCTTGGGTGTTAATTACCAAAAAAACAAAAACAAATAAGAAAAGAAAACCTCTCACTTCATAAGTAGAAAACCGACAAGATTGTAATTTTTCAAGTATAACATTGAAATAATTCATGAGGAGTTCAAAACTCTGTTCAGTGACCACTTACTTCAATAATGGACAGTTTACTTAATGTGTATATATTTTTATTTATAGCAATCCAAATTCACAGAGGAAAGACTACTTCCAGTCATATTGAACTTTCCATTCCTCATTGTTGATGGATGGACCTCTGTTAATACTATGACTGATAAAGGAGCCATTGATAATACTGGATGGCATATTTGGAGTTTGCTAACAGAGTCTAACTTAAAACTTCTCATGAAAATAAAAACAATTTTTGTTACTACCTAAGGTGACAGATAATAACTAGACATTGGGGTGATCATTTTGCAATGTATACAAATATCAAATCATTATGTTGTACATCTGAAACTAATATAATGCAATATCTCAGTTATAACTCAATTTAAAAAATAAATGAATCATGGACTTTGTGTCTACAAACCTGATCATTTCACAAATGTTCAGCCTGAACCCAAGAGAATTAAGGAAATTCCCACAAATCACACAAATAATTGGTCTTAACTGAGACTAAATTAGCTTCTTGATGCTGCTCTATGATTCCATGCCCCAGACCACCTGTTTCTTCCAAGAGGATCACAGTGGGGTCTTCCCTTTAAGAGCCTCTTTCCTTCGTACTTCTCAATATTCCCTGGCAGGGCATCATAGAGAAAAAGGAGTATTTCTTGCTGCAGAATGAAGATGCATCTGGAAAATATTGCCGGGCTCAGCTTAATCAGCTTTCAGAATCCCTGATGGAAAGTATTTCAAGAGGAATGTTCTCTGTGCCTAATGGAGTCAAGCTCTACTTAGAAGGAATAGATAAGCTTGAACACTCCTATACCATGGTGCCCAGGAAAGGTGTGAAGGTGAGGAATAAAAAGAGGGGGGAAGACCAGCAGAGGAGGTCACAGAGTCTTTGTGTATCCTTTTGAAAATTTAAAATCACAGGGCCATTTGTGAAGAGAGAGCAAAGCACGGTGATATCTCTACATCTTTATCTTCTATATCCACAATTAGTTAAATACTCAAACAAGAAATCTTTTACCCATATATAAGATTTATTATCAGGAATGTAGATAAAAGAGAACATGCTTTTCATTTAGGAAACAATGTAATAGTTTTTGCACTGTGTATAACAGATATATAATTTGAAAAACAATATTCTCAAGAAGCTTATGATCTTACCTAAAAGGGAAATATAAATAGTCAATTGGATGTGGGGGATAATGGTTATCATACAGGTATACACTAATAGTGATAAAAATGCTGCTGGTGATGGCAAGTATATATTGAGCACCCACTTTCTAAACCAAGTATATTCTTAGGTGCTCTCTTTTGATTATTAATTCAGTCTTCAGAATAGTATTAATTTAGGTACTACTGTTATACCCATCATACAATTGAGAAATGATATGCACTGAGAAGCTAATAAGTGACGTAAGAACACACAGCCCATAAGTGGTGGAGATGGCAGAGTAGGTATATGTATGTGGAATCCAGTCAAATCTCAGAAGGAAATTCAGAAAAGCTTCCTGGAAGAGGAGGTATAAGCTACAAGCTGAAGTATCAATAGATAATATGAGTGAAAAAAAGGTAGATGAGCATCCAGTCAGAAGAAAAAAAATCACCCCTAACCACGCCCCTGCCAGCCTGATCAATGTCTAACTGCTCCCCTGCTGGCCCGATAGCCCCCAACTGCCCTCCCCTGGAGTGCACATAAACCTAGTTGTCTATAACCTGAGGTAGGTGGGGGCAGACATCATTAGGTCAGTACTGTAGAGGTGGGAAAGAGGTTGCCAAAAGTGTTTTATTCTAACTAAAGTGATTGGATTTCTTACTGTGGCCATGGAATGAAGGGAACCATTGTGGGATCCTAAGGAAGATGACCACTTTACAGGGTCAATTTTTCAGTTTTGTTGAACAATAATTTCCCAGCTAGAAGAGTCTATGCTCCTTGTTTCCTCAGGCAATGGAGGTCCTCCAGAACTTCAAGCAGTCACAGGCTACAACAAAGGAATCCATCCTGCAGGATGACAAGGCTCTCACTGCTGGGGAGAAGGCTCTAGCACAGCGGTGGGCAAACTTTTTGACTTGAGGGCCACAATGGGTTCTTAAACTGGACCAGAGGGCCGGAACCAAAGCATGGATGGAATGTTTGTGTGAACTAATATAAATTCAAAGTAAACATAGTGTGTGTGTGTGTGTGTGTTGCGGGGGGGGAGGGAGGAGGGCGGGTTCCTGCAGTGCCCCTCAATGTGTGAGAGCAAATCCTTCTGGAAACAAGGTGTTTCCACAAAAGGATTAAAATAACTTGGCTAAATCTAAAAATAACCAGGTGAGTTTTAATTGCTCACTCCTGCAATCAGTGCCTTTCCATCACATTCTGAAACATGTTTTGCTGGTATTGTTAGTAAGAGTCTTCAGAGATTCCTCTCTGCCATTATAAAACCATTTAGGCTTAACCTTTGAAGAGTACTGCTACGTATAGCTGTTATTTTCTTCTCTCTGTAAAACCACTGTGCAACAGCTGAGCAGGCCAAAACGGAGGCAGTGGAAAGGGAACAGGAGCTTCTAAAGCAGACACTGAATGAAACAGCAAAAAATGGAGGGTCTAGAGAGGAGCTTCAAGAAAAGCATAGCCCTACTGAAGGAGAAGATGAAGATAGAAAGAGAAAATGAAGAGAGAGAAAAACGGGATAAAATGGCGGAATACATGCAGAGTGTAAGTCTGGGCGTGGGGTGGGCAAAGTCTAAAGGTAAGTAACATGGTTTCTCATGAAGGGAATAGCAAAAGTTTTAACTAAAGTTACAAATGATTCTGTGACATGTCAACTTAATTGAATCATTCTAAAGCCCTAAGTCTTTAAGACTAAGCATCTCCTGTGGTATTAGAGTTTTGTGAGGTCAGTTAACATGCTCCAGGCTTCCAAACTGCTGTTTGTGGTGATCATAGAGTTTCCTTGTGCCCCCAAGTGACTATGACTTCAGTTCTTAGGACGTTTGGTACACCCATCAAAAACACCACAGTGCTAACTGGTCTCAAAGTCTCAGATTACACATGATATGAAATATGGGATGCTGAAAATTCTAAAATTTGCTGCATTCGCTTCCACATCAGCCTGCTTCTTTCTACATGTCCAGAGTAAATGCATTTTTTTGTCCCTACCTGGAGTTTGATTACCAGTGTTCTCGAGAGCCAGAGGTTCCCATTATGGGTAACATAGGTATAGCCATCCTACTTCAGAGGAACTGAAAAATAGAACTAAACCTTCATCCTTCCCAAGGAACATCTCTAGGACTGAAACACATTCTTGGCATAGTTGTCAGGCCTGACCCAGCCCCAACCCCTCTCCACCCCCAGTGGGATCCTATGAAGGGCACATAAGTACAAACTCCTATTATCAGGTCCAACGATTTGGAAATATTGGACAAAAACATCAAAGAGTTATTTGAATTCTACAATGATTATTATTTGGGTGATAAAACTAAATTGAATTAATGCATGTATTGCTTGGTTTTGCTTAAACTCATAGTCTTTATTTCTTAATTCTAACTTCTGCTGCATCACTAGGTTGAAGAGTTATTGAGGAAACACCAGGAGGAAGAGATTCAACATGAGATTGAAGGTGAGAACAGCTAAAAACACCCTGAGTATAAAAATAATAAATTGTACTTCAAAATTAAGAACTCTGCTCTTTGAAAAAGCAGACTTTTCATTGAATGAAAAGGCCAGACACAGATTGGAAGTAGAGGTCTTCAAATCACACATTGGATAAAGGACTTGTATCCAAAATATTTAAAGCACTCTTAACACTCAACAAATATCTCACAAATTAGAAAAGCAAACATCCAAAGTATGAGAAAAAATGACATAATTTGAACAGACACTTCATCAAAAACATATATTTGGATGGCAATAAGCATATTAAACAACATCATTACTTATTAGAAAAGTGGAAATTCAAGCCACAATGAGATACCACTGTGCACTACAAGAAAGGCTAAAATTAAAAGGACTAAACATCTCAAGTGTTGGTGGGGATGTGGAGAAACTGGAACCCTTATACCCTGCTGTGGGAATCTAAAATGATAAATTGCTCTGGAAAACAGTTTGTCAGTTTCTTAAAAGATTTAACAAATACCTACCATGCAGTCTAATCATTTTGCTCCTAGATATATCCTCAGTAAAGTTGAAAGTTTATGTACATACAATACCTTGTTTGAAAATGTTCATAGCTGCTTTCTTGGTAATAGCCAATAAAAGGAAACAAACCAAATGTACGTTAATAGATGGACAACAAAATTTAACAAATCCATACAAAAAATACTACTGAGCAATAACATAAAATAAATGATTGATACATAAAACAATGTTACAAAAATGAATATGCTGAGTGAAAGAAGGCGGACAAAAAGTCTACATAGTGTATGATTCCATTTATGTAAAATTACAGAAAAAGAAAACTATTCTCTAGTGACAGAAACTGGCCAGTGGTTTTACCTGATGATGGGGATGAGGTTTTATGTTCAGGAGGAGGGCCAAAGGGCATGAGGAGATATTTCAGTCATAGGTATGTTCCTAACTTGATTGTGGTGGTTTATCAGGTGTATACAAGTATCATAGATAGATAAAAATGCATTTGGCAGTAAATAGTGTTACCATTATACATCGGTAAAACTGTTCAAAAAAATAAAAATTCCAGATAGATGGGAAACCCTAGAAATGTTGTCAACAACATTAATGCACTAGAAATCATTATTGTAGTGCAAATAATAGCAAGTATAGTTCATAGTTCAAGGAGATTTTTAACTGTTATTTACAGTTGTCTTTTGCTTCCTCTGTGCAAAAGCTATAACAAGAGGTTTTCTCACTGAAATAAGAATAAAACAAAAAAGATGGGGTGAAAGGCAAAATGAGCCATAACAACTTAATCCTCATGTTTCTCTGCTTATTTTTTTTTGTCAGTGCAACGTATAAAGGCTGAATCTGAAGCAACTACAAGAAAAATATTGGAGGAAGTACAAAAAAAGAATGAACAGAAGTGGAAAGAGAGAGAAAAGAATTATAAGGAACATATGAAAAGACTTGAGAAGATGGAGAAGGTAAGAGCAGAGGTAGCATGGAATGCAAAACATAAACTTCAGGTATTCAATTCTGTCATCACCATTTTAACTTCAACTGTACAGAATCAAAAACATTGCTTAAAAGGTAGAGCATTATGTCACTTTTCCAACCCAAACACTAGTAGACACTACATTCTCTTACTGCTTCAACCTGTTACCATCTCTGGTTACTTAAGGATAATACTTGCAGGATAAAATCTCATGGAATCCTTTATTATTAGATCATAATATTATTTTTAAATGAGGAAATTGTAATATCATGAGATGTAAGTATCATTTCTGAATCCTGCCTTGTGGAAGAATAGCTATTCTGTCTATCTGACTGAGTGTAGTTCAAGGTATTTTTGTTTCCTCAGTACCTGGTATAACTTTTCTCTGCAGGCACCCTCATGAAGTAATACTCTGTGACCAGCTACAGAATTAACCATGTAATTACATACCCAGGCTGCTGTATCTTCCTGTTCTCCAGGCTTTACTATGAGTCATTGTTGAATCCAGATGTTCTCCCAGACATACAATATGGAGTAGCACAGGCCCTGATCTCTTCAACTTATTTCTGTTACCTTGCCACCAAGTTTTGGAGAATTGTATTAAGTTCCTTGATCAATCATCTGCCATGATTCTGAATAATGTAGTAAACTTCCCAATGGAATTCACTAATCTTTCTCACCTTCTTAGATATATATTTGAGAATCCTCACCACCTAAATCAGAGTTGAAGGAAAAAATGATATATTTTCCAGGAACACCATGATGCATGTGGGTGAAGAAAACCAAGAATAGGATCTGGGTCACTAATATTTTAGAAACTATAAGAAAGAACATATCTGTAGCTAAATATATCCCAGAAATATTATTAGTTGGCATAGGAGAAAGTGATATGGTAGAAGTTAAGAAAGGCACATGATTAAAAATAAATTTGAAAAACTCATAGCATAGGTATTGTCAGGGGAAATAATTTTGCAAATGTGGGAAAACCCTG